TTAGCCAAGGAGCAAATTTGGGGCTTTGTATAGATTTTCCGTGGGGAGAGATTGAGCCACACTTACATAATGAGCATCCAAACAGCTCTTCCTAATGGAGGTGGGCTGGGGAGGCTTTTGTCACCATGGATGCTGATAGAACAAGAGAACACGATGGAATGAAACGGTTTCCAAGTGAGCAGTTGGCTTAAAACTTTCACCCTGTTTTTTTTTTCTTTTACTTTTTCATCGTGTACCCCAGAATGGTTGTCGACTGTGATCTCAAACATCCAGTATGATAAACAAATGTTTTCCATCTGAATCAGTAGCTTTTCATATCATTTCTTTCAAATGTGTGAAGGGATGGGAGCAAGGCCCTCAACATACTGCAGATGAGATTTATAGGATAGTCCCATTAGACCACAACTCCCCTTAGGACAGCGCCATGGTAGTCCAGTTTCCTCTTTGCCCAAGTTTATATTACTCCTTTTTGTTTATCACTCTAAGTGGAGATGGTGATAATTCCCCAATATAAACTCTCAGGACAATAGAGGCTGTGCACAGTGATGCACTAGAAACCAAACACCCCTTTAACTAGAAAGCTATTCTCTCTCAGTGTGATCTAGAAAGATCACAGTGGTGACACTGATCAGAGCAAAGAGAAATACTTTTTAGCCGATGACCGTCGTTTCCATTCCTTGAATGCTTTCTAGGTACTGGACTCTCTGCTAAGTGTGCCTTGTACATTGCCTGCCGTGTACACCGTTCCATCAGCAAGTGTACAGCGTTCCATCAGCAAGCTCATGATGTAGGAATGATTACTAACTATTTTTACATATGAGACCCAGAGGCTCAGAGAGCTTAAGGATTGCATCACTGTGTTGGAACTGTGTCTTTAGTCAAAACTGATTGGTTTTTAACTGTCTAGTAACAGGGGTCCCAGTTTCTGGCTTTACCACTAAGGTATAACATTTCATTAAATTATTTTAACATTTATTGTCATTTTCTGCAAGATGATGAGATTGAGTGAGTGGGGGGTGACTGTACAGCAAGGCACAGACTGAAGATGCTTGACGCACAGAATTTTGGTTTTGGGATTTCGTGTGCAACATTTTTCTGAAGTTGGCTACAAAATGTTTAAATCAAGAATTTTCACAAAATTTTGGATTCCTGGCTATTCATTTAAAATTCAGTGTCTGTGTCATTCTCCCATGGTGGGAAATCATGACAGCTTAGGGTCTCTCTCCTTTAAAGCATTGGAGCATTCCCAGCTCACCATTATTCCTGGAAGTTTCTGATTCCTATACATTTGATTTTTGGCTTCAAGATTGGCACATTTTTAATGAGCATTTGTTTTTTTTTCTGATGATTCCATATCCACACATAATATAATCTTAATTTGTTTGTAAATTAACTTTCTTCTTTTCTAAATTCAAACTTTAATGTAAAATGACCGGGAGTCTCTGTGGAAGTTTGTACGATGGACCAGACATAAAATCCATCCTATATTCCACTGAGGAAATGCAAGAGTGACTCTTTGCCATTTCTGCCCCATAGTTACACTGTATCTTCACAGTTGCTTAAGTAAAAGAGAAGAGATTGCAGGAGACATTAAAACTTTGGCATGGGTTTTCCTCTAAGAGCAATACTTAGCATTTCTACATAGGCAGGGCGTAGGATCACTTACAAATTCTGCATCATAGGACCAGCTTTTTTTTCTTCTTTTTTTCTTTAATTTTTTAAATTAAAAAAAGAAAACAAACTGTCTTTTCTCATTCTACATACCAGTCCCAGCTCTCACTCTCTCCCCTTCTCCTATTCCCTCCACATACTCCTCCCTCAACCCCCAACCACTCCTCAGAGAGGGTAAGGCACATTGCTTCAGGGAAGGTCCAAGGCCCTCCCTACTACATCTAGGCTGAGCAAGGTATCCATCCAAAGAGAATGGGTTCCCAAAAAGCCAGTACAAGCAGTAGGGATAAACCCTGGTGCTACTGCTGTGGCCCTGCAGTCGGCTCCAGCCATTCCACTGTCACCCATTCAGAAGGTCTAGTTTGGTCCCACACCAGTTCCTTCCCTGTCTGTCTGGAGTTGGTGAGCTCCCATTAGCTCAGGTAAGCTGTTTCATTAGGTGTTCCTATCATGGTCTTGACCACTTGGCTCATATTCTCACTCCTCCGACTCTTCAACTGGTCTTCGGGAGCTCAGCCCAGTGCTCTGCTACAGGTCTCTGGCTCTGTTTCCAACAGTTAGGACCGGCTGTTTTCTCGCTGATGCTTTGGTTGTGCTTTTCTCATTGGTCCTTGTGATGGTTTGAAGGAGAATGACCCTTACTGGCTCATATATTGAATGTTTGGTTCTCAGTTGGTGGACTGTTTGGAAAGGATTAGGAGGTGTGGTGGTGTTGGAGGAGGTGTCACTGGGAGTGGACTCTGAGGTTTAAAAAGCCCACACTAGGTCCAGTCACACTTCTTTCTACCTCTGACTTGAGGATTAGGATGTAAATTCTCATCTACTGCTCCAGTGCCATGTCTGCCTGCTCTCTGTACAATGAGCATAGACTCATCCTCTGAAACTTTAAGCAAGCTCACAATTAAATGCTTCCTTTGTAAGTTTTCCTGGTCATGGCATCTCTTCATAGTAATAAAACACTGACTAAGACAGCAATAAAGATGACTGGTACTGAGTATGCTCATGAAAAATGTAACAGAAATTGCTACTTTTTAAAAAATTATTTTTTAATTATGTTGTTTCTTTTCTGGATATATGGGCCTGGTGCTTTTTTACGGAACCAAATTAAGTACTATAATCATTCTTCATACATACATACACATATGTGTGTGTTTGTGTGTAATATTTATATATAAGTGTAATTTTGTATCCTAACAGGAGATAAACAAAATTAAACACAAGAAGAAATTGCACGAGGCCAGAGGATGTGACACAATGGTCTTGTTTCCATCATATACAGAGACAAGCAGCTTGTTTTAATAATCAAATATGTTTCCTAAGGGTCTTGTTAAATTGTTGAATGTAAATTGCAATTGGAATTGACTATTAAAGATCTTGGTAGAGTAGGTTAAACATCTGTTCAATTTATTACAATTTTATTTGTACTTCAGCTGTAACTGGGCAATTAAGCCAATCAGAGCAAGCAAATCAAATCCAATTTACACTCTAATGGGCTAAAAATGAATGAATAAACACTGTACCACTGGATTCAAATGATTAAACATATCTCTAAGGGTTTTTTTCTATTTTAGTATACAAAATCATATAGTATTTATACTATAATTAACCATTTAAGATTCATGGAAGCAAATAGGGTATCTCTTTGTTTTTTTAAATATGTTTTTAAATAAAGTTGCTAACTGAAATGTAATAACATAATAAATTAGAATTCTTAACTGAGATAAGATTGCTCATAAAGTTGTTCATTTAATCCAAGTTTATGCTTCATTTGAATGTAGGCATTCAAATGGAACATTCAGACAAATTTTTTAAAACACAAATCCCTGTTTTTTTTTGGCTTAGCTGTGGGCTGCAATAAGGAAGATTGATAATTTATTTAATACTGTGAATTAAAACTTTATTGATCTTTGCAGTGCTCACACAGTTTAGGCATGACAAGTTGACAATGTAGAAATGTAATGCGTAGCACAGTCCTTCGGTACAACAAGCTAACATCCATCTTATTAGGATCCCAGTGTCACTAAACCTGCCAAGAAGTTATAAACAGGAGCGCAGATCCCACAGTGCTGGTGGAGCATTACAAAAGCGACCATCATTGTAGATGCAGAGCCAGACAGGATGTACATCAACGTCCTGGAAGATGGTGTTTCAGCTCAGCAAATATCAAACAAAGTATCATTAACTGACATGGAGTGGCTTGAACATTGATTGGATCATTTTTGTGGAATGGCATCGCAGATGAAGCATTAGTGTGTTTGCATGCTACTTGTTTGGAAAGTTAGAAATTGCCTAATTTGAGGTGCAACTGCAGAACAACGATCATAGCATTTTCTCTCACTTGGGAAGCTGTATCTCGTGATGCATCCGACTGCTCCTCCAGCGAACTCACTGATGCTATGGGCATAATTTAACTGGGGACCAGAAGACTTGGAAGAGGCCAACTAGTTCATTCTTTTGCTTTCAATATATGATGAAAGTAAGCCTAACAACGGTCTCTGGCCATATTTCTTAGAACACATTGCATTTGGAAGATGTCAGCTAAAACCCACCAAACTGGGAAAGCCACATCAGCTTTGACATCCACTGTGTGTATCACACACCCGTCCCTTTATCTTTCTGATGTACCTTTTCTTATAATGCTCACCAAGTACCTATCACTCAACTCTTACTGCCTTCTTTCCATAGTCTGGGAATTGAGCAACGGTTCCTTATTTAAGAAGTGCCTGCCAACAGAGTGTATACTGGATCTTAGGACTTCAGTGAATATAATTTTTTTATGCCCTGGTAAATTCCTACATCATCATCTTCTCTTTCCCCCTTTCCCCCTTTTTTCTCTACCTTCACTTGCTCTCTTCCTACCTCTTCCTTTTCTTCCCTTCTTTGTTTTTCTCAAATAATATTGAGATGGAACCAAGTGTTATCTAGACCCCCAAGAAGGTAACAGTAAGCAATGAGAACACATCCTCTCACCTGAATTAGTGATGTCTGGTGGGTATAAGCAAATCAATATTTACCTAAAGAAGATGAAAAATGAAACAGCAGCTTGAAATACATTATGCCATAGCGAGACACTATTACAAGAAAAAAGAAAAGAAGAAGAGAGTAGATGAATTTGAGAACATATGTATTGGTCTTGAATATTCTTTGTTTTAAGTTCATTATGTTGACCACTTGTTTGTAACCTTATCCTTGACAACAATAAATTTCCCAAAAAGATTCCTCTTTTTAAATTTTCTCTCGCTTTTCTTTTTCTCTGCAGTGGAACACAACTTGGGGGGAAAATAGCCTAAACAAAATATATCAGTTGAGTGGTCCATTTTCTCCTCCAGGTGCTGGTGGAGCAGCTCCGAAGCTGTGACATGTGGAGGGATGAGAAGTTAAAGAACACATTTGGAACGCACCCCAGACATCTTTATCCTTATTGAGTCCTGATGAAGTCTGGCTATTATAAATCCTGATTGAGAGCCATGATGTTTTCCAAGCACAGGGACCACTTTGTGAAAAGCAAAAGCAGCCTGTCACCATGTGCAGGAGGAGGAGGTGTCAATGGAGAGGAGCCACCGGCATTTTCAGAAAGCTACATGATGTAACAGCCCTCTACACCGCCTCATTTGTGCTGGAAAGTTTTAAATAGAGAAAAATAATCCCGTGCCATTAGCATAGCAACAAGTATGTTCTTTGCATAATAAACTTGGTTCCAGGGCGGCACTGGGCTCCATTTTGCTTGCCCTTCTGTCTCACCTTCCATTGCCAGTGCTATCGCTGACCTAATGGATAGACAGCCTTTGAAAGAACCCTGCTGATTTCTTGGCTGCCTGTTGGCAACAGAGGAGAATAGGAGGACAGAAATATATATTTGTAAAGTTCCATTATTTATCTTACTTAGGGACAGCATTTTATCCTTTCAAGCTCATCTCCTAGCCACTGTAATTAGGCTTTCCAGAAACATCTTGCTGCTGTCTTGACATCACAATAGCATTTTGATGAGCTTGGACTGTAACCAGCTCTGAAGTCAGGCAAGACATTGGGGCATAGCAAAGAATTCTCTGTGCCTTGGTGGAAACCATTAGTTCCCAGGAGTGGAAGAGAAATGTTTTTATAACAGTATTTAAAGAAACCATTCAGGAGCAGGCTTATAATATCAAAACTTTTGTCTCCGATCCTAGCAACAGGTTTTCTCATATTGAGTCATTTGCTTGCAGGTCTTAAATGAATGCAGAATGATTTTTTTTGAATTAATGAGCAAGAAATAAAAATAGAAATGACCAGAAAGGGAGGGTGACACAGAGAGATGCTAAAGGACGAGGAGAAGAAGGTGAGAGAAGAAGGTGAGAAGGAAGAGGCAGGTGCTTTGAAGTGAAAGCTGCATCTTCAAGTTTCAGGTTCCAGTGCTGCTCCTGTTTTGAACACGATGGGACAAATGGTCCCGTCAATACTGTAACAAGAACCCACTCTCACTCACAGCTGAGCACCAGGAGGTTTGGTCGAACCTAATATCTCCATCAAGTACTGGGGATATATTCCATACTGAGGGCATCACAGACTCAGCACCACTGGAACATTGGCCTCGTGCCTTTGGGAGCCTTTAGCTGGAGCAAGACTGGTCAATAAGATTTATGTGGTGATGGAGAAATTTTGTCCTCTGCCACCAAACACCAAAAGGATGTCTAGTACTACTAGAATCCTAAAGGTTAATTAGTTAAGTTCCATTTGGCTCATGGTTATCAGTTGACAGGGCATAGGAGAGAGAGGCTGCCCTCTGTAGTTATTCATCTACTATTATACCCCCAGAGATAAACTACAACTCTCCTGCACCAAGAGAGATGTGACTTACTGACTCAGTCCTACTCAATGAACCCACAAGTTGCAGAAAAAAAAATAACATCTGAGAGGCAAACCATGGTGCCTCAAGTTCTTGGGCTAAAGTCATCACCTGTGCTATTCATGATTTTATTCCGTTATTTTTTTTTTACAATCAAAGCAAATATTTCTGGTATTAATATATGAGTCATAAGAATAACTACTCCTGATTAACATGCACCTGACAGAGTCTCCAGTTCAAAGATGCTTATTAAACAGACTTAATAAAACAGCTCGGGAAGGCAGTCTTCAAATATCCTTGATCCATGGCCACGCTTGCTCCAAAGCATGCATCCCAACACTTGTGAGAAAGAAAGAATACTTCCCCGTCTAGCTACAGGGGCTTGTTCGCCTTTAACAACTCTTTTGCTTAGAAGTGAGATCCTTCAGCTCAGCAATACAAAGATCATGCTTTTCATTTTTTTAACAGGTGTTGGTGACCCGTTGAGGCTTTCATGAACAGGAAAGCAGATACTCTTGAGGTCAGCCCCCAGCACTGGCTTATAGCAATGAGAGTTCCATGGAGGCAAGCGGGGGAGGCAGCATTTGGCCCAATAATTTCACTGCAGCTGCTACATCAGATATGCCAACGTGAAGCTGAGCCACTAATTGGAAGCAGAATAAACCTAAGAAATCTTGGTTCAAATGGCAGCTATATTTTCCAAAGAGAAGATTTCAGTTGAAATGCCAAAGGAGACAGTTAGCCAAAACATTTGTCTCTGGAAATTTCACGTCTCAATTTTTCTCAGATCTACAGCTGGGTGCTAAGCCAGGCATGTCTTGAGAACACATGCCATGGATAAACCAAGATGCTTGTTTTCATCAATAGCAGCTCTATTGAACTCACAACAAATAGTTCAATTACCATGATCACTAATAGGCTGATTAACTTGGGTGACAAGAAATGAAAGATGATGTGGGAAAACCAAGCTCCTAGGAAGTGGTGTGAAATCAGGAGCAAGGCTAGGCACTGCCATGAGTTCTCAGTTCAGAAGCTTTCACAGTGAGAAAGTAAGATACAAACAAACAAACAAAACAAACGTGTCTGGAACTCAGGAGACGGCCCAGTGGATAAATCACTTGCCTAATATCTGTGAGGACCAGAATTTGAATGTCCAGAACCCACATAAATTTCTGATGGGCATGGAAGCTTCCTTATAAAGCCAGTGGGTAGAAGGAGGAGATGGGAAATCCCCTGGGCAAACTGCCCAGCTTGTATAGACTGAGAGTTGTAGTGTCTATTGAGAGACTCCACATTCATATACAAACGGAGAGAGCAATGGGGGAAGACAACTTCAACCCCATGCCTTTACGATGTTCATATGCCCCCACACACAGACACACACACACTCAAGCCCATCTCATATCACACACATGTGTACATACTCTGTAAAACTATTATCTTCTTAATACTTTGTGTGGGATATATTTCTGAGATTCACATACAGGTTTCACTGGCCAAGTTCAACATTCTTCTTAGAATTCTGTGTCAGAAAACCACTTGGCTCTCCTAGTGAACTGCTATAATTAGTTACACCTGTCAACAGAAGCCATATCTCTCATTTTATTGTCCCTTTGCCCTGGATTTCTGAAAACTTAATCCTGAATACACTACTTGCTTTCATTATTGTCTTTGGCTTCCATTTTTCCCAGTCCCCACCTGGTTGGGAACAGGCTCCAAAGACATTAGAAGCCAGTGGGAAGTTGAATTTTCTCCTTTCTTTCTAAACCTGAATCTACTTGTCTATGAGATGGGGTAATAACTCTTATTTCCTAAGAGTTTGTTTGCAGTGCTGGCCACAGTAAATGCTCAAAACTTCCAAATATTAAATATGAAAGTATTTGGCTTGAAACATTACAACCCATTTTAAATAATTTCTGAGTATGACAATGAGGTAATCAATATAATTTGTAGGTAGCTATTGCAAGAGCTGAATAAGAATCACATATTTACTTTGTCTTTTGTTTATAGTTCCCTCTAAGAGTAAAATATGCATCAATAAAATCTTCAAATCTCAAATATACAAGTCAGTGAATTTTAAATAATGTGAATAATTTTGAATGTGACCCTGGCTCCTTCTAAAATATACATTATTTCCATTACCCAAGTCATTTTCCTTGGGATCTTCCAGCTCAACCCTTACCTTGCTGGAGATGGACATTTTGTTTTTTTTTTTAAATATTTATTTATTTATTTATTTATTATGCATACAATATTCTGTCTGTGTATATGTCTGCAGGCCAGAAGAGGGCATCAGACCTCATTACAGATGGTTGTGAGCCACCATGTGGTTGCCGGGAATTGAACTCAGGACCTTTGAGGAGCAGGCAATGCTCTTAACCACTGAATCATTTCACTGCAGGTTCCTTTTGACTGTTGTGAAATTTCTCAAAAATGTTACATGTTCTTTTTTGTCTGGATCCTTTTGTTCCCAACTTTCTGACAGTCACTCATGTTTGTGAGAGTATAGGTGACTTGGCTCTTCTGATTCTAAGGTCATATGAACATCTCACATCTGTCCTATGAGCATATCACATGTTTTATTCTCTCTCTCCTCAAGTGTAGCAGTATTTTCTCATCAGGACCACCAGCTCACAAAGAATGACATGGAGACTTACTATTAATTACGAATGCTCAGCCTTAGCTTAGGCTTGTTCCTCGCTAGTTCTTATAAGTTAAATTAGTCCATATTTTTAAATTTACATTTTGGCATATGGTTTCTTACCTATCTCGGTAGTGCCCATCCTGCTTCCTCTGTGCCTGGCTGATGACTCCTCTCTTCTTCCAAGAACTCTCTTTCTGCCTGAAAGTCCCAGCAAAACATCTTTGCACAGTGTACAAATATCCCACAACACTCAAGCACATTTGAGTGTCTTCATCCATTGGCTCTGTAAAAATGCTCTGAACATGCTTGTATGAAGCTTGCATCATTAGTCAAGTTTGTGTTACTCCAAGAAAAATAAATAAGAATTAAGATGTAAAGTAAGTATGTGATTTTGTATTTCTACCAACAATGTGTTTCTTACTCAAATTGTATGTCACTAGACATTTCTTAAATAAAACAGAAACCATGCTTGCGTTATTAAAAGAAAGGTAACTGGTTGTATGTATTTCAGATAAATTTCTAATTTGGGAATAGTTTTCTTTCCTCTTTATCATATTTTTTATTGAAAATAAAAACTTTTCATACAGTATATTGTAATCAAAGTTTCTCCTTCCCCACCTCCTTCCATGTCCTACCTACCTTCCCACCCTTCAAACTCAAGCCCTTTTTACCCCTATCTCGTTAGAAGACAAGCAGGCAAATAATAGATCAAATGGGACCAGAATCAATCAATCAAACAAACAAACCAAAATAGAAAAGTAGAAGCAGGAGAAATATAAACAGATGCACATGCGTGTGTGTGCACACACACACACACACATCCCAAACCCATAAAACCCAGATTTTCCATTTCCAATCTTTCCTCGCTTTGTGTTTTCTTCATTACTTCCATTTCATTCTTCAAGTCTTGAACTGCTTCCCGTACCTGTCTGATTGCTTTTTCATGTTTCTCTTGGTTTTCTTGGGTATCTTTAAGCGATTTATTCATTTCCTCTACCTTTTTGTTTGTAATCTCTAATTGTTTATGGCAGTTTTTCACCTCCTGCTTAAGGTCTTCTATTATTTTCATATAATTCACTTTTGAGTCGATTTCTTCTAATTCTTCTGGAGTAGGGTGTACAATTCTTCTTATTTCGGGATCCCTTGATTCTGGTGAAGTCATGTTGCCTTTCAGGTTGTTGGAGGAAGTCTTGCATTGGCGCCTTCCCATCTCCTCCTTCAAATGGAGCCAGGAGAGGCCTGGTGTCTTGGTCCAGACTTTGCTGTGAATGAGTCTCTGGGTGTATCTTTTCAGTGTAGAAGCAGGGACCGTCCCGTTGAGCTGGAACTCCCCAGCACCCAAACATGGACTACCGTCCAGATGGAACTCCTCAGGACC